GAATCTTTAACACAAGTGAGAATATCAAGGTTGGGAGCTCGAGGATGACACCAAGATGCAACACTGTGGCAGGCCAATTTTGGAACAGGTTTGATGCGACGCAATTCCTGAGAAGAATAGATTAAATAGGATAACATAAAATATTCAAGAGAACTTGGAAGTAGATAAGGTAATAAATATCTGCTAAATGCTTCAGTATTGTAAAATGTAATGAACTATTGATATGCAACGATACCTTAAAAGAGATAGTGTCCCAAAGAGCAAGTGTTTTGTCTGCACCAATCGTGATAAGTTGTGGAGAACCTCCAATCACTCTGGACAGTTCGACAGCTACTACCCCACCATCATGCGCCTATCAAGAATGCAAACGATCTATTTTATCATCATCCCAGTTCATTAATCTTTGAGGAACACACAACAAATATATTTGATCATGAAAAGGATATGTGAATACATTAGTCATCAAGTATTCAATTTCAAAGAAATAACCAGTTAGAGGTAAATAATGGAGAAAATTGGACTGCAAGAGAAAGTTTTTTGAAGAAGTCAAAAGCATAAAATATTTAAACATAATAACTAACAAACCTACTAACAAAGTAGTTATAGAAATTGAAGGTAGAGGGCGCACTTTTAAGCTTAGTTTTGGTACAAGTTCTCGTGAATCTTGGCTGTTGTCCGCACTCCAGAGTACAAGCAAGCCATCACTAGCACCAGAAACCAGAAGTGCCTGGCAATCAAATTTACAAATACAAAACGGTAAAAGATCCAGAAGGAAAGCAGGGAAAGCATTGATAAGGAAAAGAATATGACATGAAGACAGATAGCGGGTACATAAGAGAGCTAACTCAAAAGGGCAACTTATTGAAACGCATATTTATAATTCAAACATCGGTCCCTCAAACTTTACATGCTCTCTCAATATTGACAAAGTCAAAAAAGTTGTAGAGTAAACCAATAATTAATGAATAAATGACCTCATTAGATAAAAATGAGAAGTTTCCTATCAAATTAATTGAACAGAATCGATGTACCATCATACATTACAGCTAGATAACATTTTATGGAGTTACCTCACCCGAGGAAGCTATGAAGGTCATCAAACATGAGATTGATCCTTTATGACCTCCAGTATATCTACGCACTAGCTGCAAAAAAATATGAAATGATAAAATAAGAATTAACAGTTTGATAATGCTATCAAACTTGGCCAATAAGTAAATATCCCATACCTTCCAGGTTAGCATTGAGAGGACCCTAATAACACCATCTGATCCACCAAAGGCCACAAGAGGACCATCTGCTCCTGAAGATTTAGAGAGGAACTCCATGCTGCAACATGGAAAAAAGACGAACAGTTTAGTGATCCAAAACCACTAACCACAAACAAAAAGATTCTGATAGCAGCTTAAATAACACATTTTCCTACATTTCTCATGTTGGTATACAGAAATTGAGGCTTTAATTGAAAATATCAACTTTGAAAGATTTGGATTGTAAAAAGAAAATGGAAATTTTCATAAATTTTGAAATTCAAGCATTTGAATGTTAGAAAGAAAACGTGAAGTAAAATGTAGTCTATATTGAGACAGACATGTTCTTTTGCCCAATGCATGCATTAGGACGAATAAGAAAATTATTGACAGTGCAGTTACTATGTTATTATCATAGGAGAGGAACAATGTAATCCAACAGTAATGTGTCATCTTATGATAATAAAAACATAAAGTCCCTAATAAATAAACAAGTTAAACAACAAAATAAAGAATGCAACAAGGTTAATGATTGTGTCAAGCGCAAATAATTCACGCAACAGCATTTGCCAACATGAGCATATCTCAACTAACATGAAGCATGTGTTCTTGACCAAGAGGTTAGAGATTCTAGGAAAACACTGACTAAGGGCATTAGCCAAAAGAAAAGCCAAGACAAAGTAGGTGCATTAGTATTAATAGATTACAAAAATGCCCTAAAAATCTACTTTTCAAAAGGCTTAAAAGGATGGAGCATCAACAAGGATCAAGTCCATTAACAAGACAGCTTCTAAAAAATGGGAAACAAATTGTCAGTTTTTTTTAAGTTTAATCGTTCATTGTTAATTTCAGGAGGACAGGAAAAGAAGGCTTAGATACTGTAACAGACTTAATTTCTCTACATTTGTATGAGAAACAAGATGCTTGTTGAAGAACACAATCCAAGGATTAGAAACATGGGATCGAAGAAGACAAAATAGAAAACATATAAATTACTTTTTACTGACTTCATTTAATGTAAAAGAGACAATGCATTGAAAATTCGAAAAAATATGATTCATTTCCTTGGCAGAGCCTTTTAAAATGTTCACTTCGATGCAGTACAGATTTTTGGTAACCAAATTCCTTTATGGTTACTCCTTTGAAACTGTAACAGACTTAATTTCTCTACATTTGTATGAGAAACAAGATGCTTGTTGAAGAACACAATCCAAGGATTAGAAACATGGGATCGAAGAAGACAAAATAGAAAACATATAAATTACTTTTTACTGACTTCATTTAATGTAAAAGAGACAATGCATTGAAAATTCGAAAAAATATGATTCATTTCCTTGGCAGAGCCTTTTAAAATGTTCACTTCGATGCAGTACAGATTTTTGGTAACCAAATTCCTTTATGGTTACTCCTTTGAAACTGTAGTCCATAATATAAAACCTGAATAAAGACAAAGGTCAAACCCTGTAATAGCCCAAGTCCACCGCTAGCAGGTATCACAGTCAACCTTATAAGTAATGTTTCGCTCCCCTCTCCAACCGATGTGGAATCTCATAATCCACCTCCTTAGGGTCCAGCGTATTCGCTGGCACACTACCCAGTGTCTGGCTCTGATACCATTTATAACAGCCCAAGCCCACTGCTAATAGATATTGTCCACCTTGACCCATTAGTATAGTTGTCAGCCACACGATTTTAAAACGTGTCTGCTAAGGAGAGGTTTCCACACCTTTATAAGCAATGTTTCGTTCTCCTCTCCAACCAATGTGAGATCTCACAAACTCAATCCACAGACACCAATTGAGGTATATCGAATTATTTTGTTGAAGTACTACTTTCAGTTCAAACATTCTTTGAGATTCATTTGAAGACAGTACACTATCAAGGAATCACAAAATGTAAATGGGACAAAGAAATCCTGGATTCCAAAACTATATTCGAGATTACTTCCAGTCAAAAACACAAAATTAATCCATAAACACACTATCAGGGTATTAAACAGAGTGAAAACTTACCAGAGAAGAGATTTATTGTCAAGATCCTGCTTCGGTACATCACGGCCTCGCATTGTCACCAAGTCCAAGAATATGGCTTTATTTTCACAACAGATAACTAGAAAATGCCTCCCTTTTGTGGAAGGGGCAGGGGAACTCAAAGCTGATGTAACTTGATTGACAGCTGAAGGAGCTTCAGCAGCTACGGAACGGTTCCGCCACAGTTGCCAAAATCGAACGTCGTCGTCATAAAAACTTACCTGCTTCACACTGCATCAAACAGTGCACCCCATGAGTTAGTTTTCAAACCGATGCAAACAAAAGAAAACGAGGAAATGCCAGACTCACACCTTCCCCCTCGTATAGCTTCAGTCGGCTTCCCCTTCGAATCTAACAATCACGTTCACGAGACACAAATCAGCAGAAAATTTTCAGGTTACGATTCAGAAAATTGTTCAAAACATAACAATTAAAGAAAAAAAAGGAATCTCGACGGATCGAACCGAATTCGCCCTCAGCGAGCTTCTCCAACTTGGCACCAACAAGACGCCTCTGATCAATTCCGCCTGCTTTGAGCTCGTAAATGACCTGCCGATGCTCCCAATTCCATACAGAAACGTGATCCGACGCATCGGCGGTTACAAGCCATGGATGGGTCGGATGCATCTGTATCTTCACGATCTTCTCGTTTGAAGGCCGGAATGCTCTTAGCCTCAACATTTTTCTTCCCTTTCTTTAGTTCAGCAGCACCGGAACCTACTTCAATTCAACAGGAAAACGAATATTGAGATTCAAATCTCATGAACAATGCTAGCTAAACGCAGCTCTCGACTTCAATTTGTTGTCTGATTCTTGTGGTACTCGCCGGCGGTGGATTTTATAGGAACGATGGAGGGATCTTCAGAAGTCCGGCACTGGCTTCAGCTCTGAAGAGCAACCGTACGCCGTGGCAAAGACTTGGTTTTTTTCCTTCCGGTACTTCGAATGGTCTCAAAACGACGTTGTATTGTCAGCTCGTCTGCTTAAAGTAAGATTACCAAATTAACCTTTTTAATAATGTAAATTTTTAGTATTGATTCTTTCCGCATTTTAATATAATTATCATCTACAAAAAAAATGATTCAGTTTCTCTACGGAAAGATTACAAAATTATAACAATTTAATTTACTATTAGAAAAAATCTATCAAGTTGTCTGGATAAGATTATGTCTAAAATTATGTAATTTTTAAATTATTCTAAATCAAAATAACAATTATGAAAAAAGAAATTGTGACATAACTATTTAAATAAAATATTTAAAAACTATGAATAATTGAAATATTCTATTGCATCAGTTTAAAACATTCAAATTTTAATATTACAACATAATCTTCAGAATTTGAGAATCTAAAATGGACGATGACCGTTTCAGTAAACATCAAAGTCCAATTTGAATTGGCTTAAATAGTCATGATATTCCTCGATTGTTTTCGAGGCAAGAAGACTAGAGGGCTCGTCTTTGAGCCGTTAGTCCATCGAGCACCTTTAGGGAAACATTTACCCATAATCATTGAAATAGCACCAAAATTCAATTACAATAGAGTTTTTAACAACTTGTTACTATAATAATAAATAAACAGACCACTTTAAACTTTCGAAGTTCTTACAAATATATCAATTAAGTTCTCTTTGCTCAACAAAATGTCAACCATCACTAATAAATTGATACATCAATGATTTTGCGTTTCAAATAGTTACTCAATACCATTCAATTCAAGATACTAAATGCATGAATATTTTCTATATTAAATAAGTAAATACTAGATGAACAATCATTCAATTAAGTGAATTACAGAGATTAAAACCCAGAAACTGCTGGTTGGACTAACAATCAATCTTGGTTTGCAGCAGAAAGTGTTGTCCTGGTAAAACAAACCAAAAACTCTGTATTACCCTCAGCGCCCTTCAATGGCGACTCAATCCAACCTTTGCTGCAGAATCCAAAACTCTCCACACCCTTTATGATCTTCTCAAGAACCTACAGTCATTATTCAACAACCATGGTGTGAGCTACATTCTTCATTCATCCTATCCTATCAATTAAAGCCCATAAGGATTCTGCATTGGTTAAGCATGTATCTTGTTTCAGTGAAACAGCCCAAGCTCACCGTTTGTAGATATTGTCCTCTTTGGGTTTTCCCTTTCGGGCTTTCCCTCAAGGTTTTTAAAACACGTCTGTTAGAGAGAGGTTTTCATACCCTTATAAAAAATATTTGTTCTCCTCCCCAACTGAGATGAGATCTCATAATAAAAACCTTGAGGGGAAACCCGAAAGAAAAAATCCAAAGAGGATAATATCTACTATCAGTGAGCTTAGGTTGTTACATTAAGAATAACAAATGGACAAATAATTATATAGGACAAAAATAATAAGTTTTAAGAGCGAAAGCCACCAAACTATTTTTTAATCACATAAAAGTGTCATAGCCTTGTTAACTTTAAATGTTCTTATTATATAAAAATGACATATACTTTAGTAAACGTATCTTTGTTGTGTTCGTTGTGTTCGTGTCCTAAATTTAAATAATGTGTCACCATGTATACAAACTTTTTATAGTGCATAGATGATCTATTAACTGTGCTCAACCTCAGAAGTGACAATCTCAAGATAAACCAAGAATTAATTCCAATTAGAGAACTTCAGTAACATGAATTATCACTCAAAGCAGGGTACAAATGAACAAAACATCTTAAATTAAATAGGAATAAAGGAAGGAAAAATGTTTACCTCCTGGTGAACTTGTGGATCTCTCACGACTCCCTTACCTCCTACCTGCAAAAAACCATATCTTCAAATAAATGGTTAACATAAACTTATTGTGTTAGATATCTATTTTATCACTCAGTTATCATAATTTCGTCTATTTTTACAAGATGCCTGGTTTCCATGATTATCAGGAGATTATAAAATGATAGCATAGGTGCGAGTCAAGATCAGCATCCACTAACACGAGCCTGCCACCTTTCAAGATATTATGCCCTAGGATTATCACATACAGAACTTTCACTTCTGGCATCAATTGTTTTAATATGAATGGGGATTACCAACCAATTACATGGACGTCCTATGCATAATTGCACCTGTGACATGTTTAACTCTCTATTTAAGAAACGACTCAAATAGCCTTCTCTTTTCTTTTCTAGAAGCCTCTTCGAGACCACGTTGATATTGTAGGAAAAGATGAGCTTGGGCAAAAGTTCATAGGTTGGTTGAATACTAAATTCTGCTTAGGCTATGTGTTCTGCTTACCCGCTACTAAGCCGGCACACAAGATCTTGATAGGTTTCGTCCCCTTTTGGGAACACCTTCTTACTAGTACAAGCTAAGCCTGATGCAAATAAACTGAAAAAAGAAGATGTTGGTCAATTCTTTATAGATGAGATGTAGTAGATGAAAGAAATATGAAAGGGTCTACACAGCACAAACCCACAAAAGGAATCCCAAGATTAACTACAAGAAGGGGTTCCAATCCAAAAGGATAAAACCAAGTGGAATAGCCTTCCCTTTTGAGACTAATAGTCTAAGTGACAGTAAGAGTGTGGGACTAGGAAGATGGAAGAAAGCCATCATTGAAGGAAAGGAAGATCGGTACTTCTTCAGTCAATGTTCTTTTACATTCCCATTCACCATTTCTCCATATTTAAAACTTCATCAACGGCTGCTAGCTTTTCAAGATTACATCCTTTGAAATCGGTGGAAGAGGAAAGTGACCTAGGTTAATTGGGTCACATCATCTAAACAAAAGTGGTTGAGTCTTAATTAGACATATTAGCAATAATGCTAACCAAAAAAAGCAGTCAATACATAAGGGAACTGCCACACTCAAGAAGAGAAAGAACTCAGAGCCTTCTTACTTGTGATCGACGACATTCAAATTGAGGTTTCACCAAAGTAACAATTGTTGACGTTTCCTTCATTACATTGACCACAGCAGGCATGACCTGATACATAAACAAATAAGAGTATGCAAACAAATGGAATAAGAGAAGAACAAAAGTCTTAAAATGACCATTGCAAGACCTTTTGTTCAAAATCAAGACGCTAGTGACTGGTGATCAAATTTATACTATGGTATAAACCGTACTTACATTTGATCAGACCAACTGATTAAAATAAGATAGCCAATGAGGAGCTACAATACAATGAGAAACGTCAAGTCTGTGGTCATTATTCATACTCTATTATTTAATTTGAAGGAAAAAAAGACTTTAAAAGGAGAAGAATTGTGCAAGGAAGAGTTGTTTGTCTGCACACTAATGAGCTACAGACACCTAACTCCCAAACTTCTAATTTCCTCGACCACATCCCTAGACGTTTAATCCCCAAATTTCAGATGTCAAGATTGGAAAACTACCAAATTAATATGAGCTTATTTTTAAGACATGAAATCTCTTTTTGCACCTTCTTCTTTTGGTATCCAAATGGAAATTTTCATTTAGTTCTGCAGCTAAGCATGTTTTAGAGCAACAACATAGAAAAAAGATTTGTTTTGCATGCCACACGGTATATACACAAATCATTGAGAATAGAACTGGTCAAGAATAAAATACTTCAGTGGGGCAGTGATACAAACACCAAATATTTGTTCAAACAGATATTCAGCCAAGCCAGATTTGTACATAAAGTAGGAAAAGTATTCTCAATAGTTATTTGCCAAAGAATATCTTGACGGCAAATGAAAGGAAAATTGTGCTTTTTCAGCTTAAAAAACCAAAAATGTTTCCCTGCTATCAAATTTAGATTAAACAAACTGTTGTGAAAAGTAACTGAAACCTTACCAAGAGAATAGAGATAAAAGAAAGGTCCAGAGTCACAATATCAACTTTTTGAGGAACTCCAGCAAGATGTCTTAAGTTTGTTCTTTCCATCACACAAACACGTTCATCTCGACGTATCTTGTCGGCAACCTAAAAATTCTGCAGATCAATGACGTATCACAGTGGAATAGAAGAAAGTGTGGGAGGCATTATTTGCTAGTTTCCCACATAAATAGAGGGTAGCAACAGTAAACAACGGTTTATCGACCGATTGGTTAAGCATACACTTGTTACTATATTTGATTAGTTGGATGGTATTTTCTTATCTCTTAAGCCAGCAGATTTACTTTCTAGTCATTTCCCTTCTGAAGTACAACTTCTTCGATTCAATTGTTTATTGCATTGGAAAGATGCACAAATCAATGAAATTTCGTCAAACTTTTCTATTAGAGATAAGGAAGGAGTTTTAAAAATATTACCTGCCCATAGCCAACATCGACTCCATAAACAAATGAAGCCCCATGTTGAAGCAAACAGTCGGTAAATCCTCCGGTGGATAATCCAGCATCAAGAGCAACTTTACCATCAACATCAACACCCAGCTGTTCAATGGCAGCTTCCAGCTTGAATCCTGCTCTGGATTTCGTGACATTGTGAAATTACAACAAAAAAAGAAGTTTATATTAACTTCAGATACTTTATTTAGTCTAATGGTGATAAAGAATCGATATATACGGGTAAAAACAGGTAGTTTTCAGCTAAGTTTTATCACCTACATACGTATTTAGGAACTTCAGCAATTATCTCGACCTTAGCTTTATCGCCGACGGGTGTTCCGGCTTTACTGACTACTTTGCCATCTACCAATACTTTACCTGCATAGAAATTCATCTATGAAACACAGAAAGTGAAGGAATTCGAAAATGAACTGAAGTTCGTCATCGTCATCGACAAATTCAATCGAAGTTACCTTGTAATATCCATGATTGTATGATTGTTCGGCTGTACTGCTGATACCTTTCAACACACATCTCGTCCAATCTCTTCTTCTTTTTCCTAATTAACACAAAAACATCTTCATTCCCACTTGCAAACAGATATTTCGAAATTGCGGAACAGATTGAAACCAAAAATCCTTACAAATTCAGAGACTGAATCTTTCCCGATTTGGCGACGGAAAAGGCTTTAGGAGAAGCAGAATGAATCCGGCAACAATTTGGCGGCGACACGAGAAAAATCCTCGCAAAATTGTTTCGACTCAGTAAGCACTTCGACATGACGAGGCTTCGTTTTTTCACACGATTATGAAAATTCTATCTTATTGGCTACTCCACCAAGATTTCGGTCTCCCGATAACAATGGAACTTCGGCAAAGCTTGAAGTTTATACACGAACATGAAGCATATGATTTAAACGAGGTTCTAGGTTAAATCTTGGTTGAATTAACAAAAATTATTCAATATGGTATGGTATGGATGATGAACATAGATAATCATCAAAGGAGAAAAAAAAAAAAAAAAAGCCAAATATATTGTTATATCTCTATTCAAATCCTCTCGATTGCGCCCTGACCTGAGTCCCCATGTCCGCTCTTATCTGCCCCCTATCCAAGGAAACCAAGATTTCGTTAGTGTTTCGGGAAAAGGGAGAAACGAGGCGTTAGGAAAACGAAAACAAAACGCAGACCAATAGTTTACGAGGTTCAGGAGATAAGCCGATCATCCATGGGATGGTAGTAATTGTGCATTAGATTTGCAATTGATAAATTTTAGTCACGATAAATTTATCACTAGTATGATTCAATTAGGCTTCCTCACCGGTCTCGTAGGGATCGACGCTTTTGACTACCTGGCACAAGCCTGAACCTCCGAAGACGACGTCCTCAATGTTCGAGGTTGGTACCTCAATCAACGATAGATGTTCATATTCAAGGTGGGCAATCTTATTTAGCTATCTTTGTCGAAATATTCTCTGTAAGAAGGAACTTAGTATGACGTTTAACTCATTGGAAGGAATTAGTAGCAGCGGGTTGTCTGTCGTCATAAATTAGTCATCGCAAAGTTTTCGAGAGTTCCACTGAAAACCCTTATTTGTTGAAGGATCAGTTATTAGAGTGTTGCGCTTCTCATGGTCGAGTCAGAGCAACTCCGAAGCTCATTAGCTATTTTTGGCAGGAGCACGTTCGAGCTTGTGATATAGCCACACCTAATTCCAAACTAAGGTCGTACAATATAATTAAATCTCAACTTAATCATGTAAATTGATAAATTAAAAAAAAAAAAAAAATTAGGGTTCAGAATTTTATGGATGTAATTTTTTAATTAAATTACGGCAGTAAAAAACGGGGGAGACATTGATTATTTTTACCTGAAAAGTGAAAAGTGAAGAAGGGAAAGGTTATTTTGAAGAGAGAAGGGAGTGGAAATATCAAAAACGGGAGTGCCCGAAAAAAGGGGAGAGAAAGAGAGAGACTGGTGCTGTACCTCAGTGCCTGCAACAAATACTTTTCGCTGTCTACTTTCCTCTTTCCCCTATTTTGCTTCCTCTCTTCCCTCATCTCTTCTCTCTTTCTCGCTCTGGTTTGGATGTTTGTATTTAATGCGTTAGGTCAAGCATTTATTTGCAGTCTCCGGAGTAATTTCTACTCTATATCTCACTCCATCGATCGGGTAATCCTTTTTTATCTCCATTTTTCTCGCTCACTTAGATCCGTTTCTTTTACAATTGATTGTGGGCTTTTGTTATTTGCGCTGTTTACTGTGATTTTGCTTCACTGTCGGAGCTTTTTGTGGCGAATATCTGTTCTCGAGGATTCAATCATGGAGTTTTCTTTTCCAATTTTGAGCTATTTTTGTGTTTTTGAAGATCGGTTTTCTGTTTGGTGCTGTTTTAAGATCTGTTTGTTTTGTTTTTGTCGGATTGGGTTTAGTTTAGGGTGGAANTAGGGTTTTTTTTTTTTTTTTTTTTTTTTTTTTTTTTTTTTTTTTTTTATGTCTTGTATTGAGAGAGTAGTTTGGAAGGTTAGTTTGGTGATTCTTACTGAAAGCATGGAGAGCAAATTATTCGAAATCTAGAAACCTCTTTTCCTGAAAACGAGCTCGTTTTCTATGTAGGATCTGAAAGAATGTTTAGTTTGACTCTGTGTTTATCCAGTGAGCGGTCTTGATTTATGAGAAGCTGTGAAGGAAGTTTCTGCATGCAATTTAGTTTCAATTCTCTGGTGTAGCAGTAGGGGTCGTTATGCATTATGATTACCGTAACCATCTTCTGATAAATGTCTACTAACGAGTAGAGTTTCCACTGATTAAAAACGAGGAGATCAAATGAAATGAATGAACGAAAAATCTCATCCCGCATTAATAAATCACCCAAACCAAAAATCACGACTCTAGGAAGCCAAACTGATAGATTTTCTCTGTAGTTTTGTTAACAATGAAGTAAAGAATATTCAACATTAAAGGGTAATCGTCGTACCCNNTCAAGGAGTTTTTTTTTTTTTTTTTTTTTTTTTTTTTTTTTGTTGAGAATTTCCGATTTTTGTTCGGAAAAACAGGTTCCAAATGACTTGGTTATTTTCGTAAATTTTGATCCTCATAGCACATGTTTCTCTTCTTAGTGATTAAACACTATCCAAAATGTTGTATTTTCCAATTGGCCCTGCTACCTCTTTGAAGCTCGTTGAAATGGAAACTGGACTAACTTTTATGGGTTTTAATTTATCTCAAATTTGGCAACTTAGAATGTAAAAAACTCATTTGAATGTCTCCACTAAAAAGGTGTGTATGCTTGTTCATTTTGTTGTTTTTTTTTTTCTTTAATTCTTTCCTTTCTTTTTGTGTATTTGAAGACTGAAAAGTTGGACTATTTGCAATAGGCTCAAACTACACTAGTTTGCTGAAACTGATGGGTGAAAATAAGAAGAAACAATTCAACAGATAGTTCGTTATTCCAAAGAAATTTAGGAGTTTATGGAGAGAATTGTAACACTATCCAGAAAAAGTTCAAAGTCCAACCAAAATAAGTGAACAAGACAAGTTCAAATCAAGTGAACTCTTGTAACTACCCTTGAGATAATCAACAACATTATATGGAATGGAAATAACAGTCTCAATTCTTATGGTTTCTTTGGTTATTTGATTAGGGGAGAGCCCCTTCTTTTGATTTAGATTTTCATTGAGCCCTTCTTATACATGAGATCGGCGTGTGAGCTTGTCTTCCTTTAATCCAAACGATCAATCTCTCTCCAAAGCATAAGATTGTTTTTTGTGGATTACAATGTTGGTTTAAATCCTATTTTGATCCTTATATTTTTAACTTCGGTTCATTTTAGTTCTTTCACTTTTAGATTGTTCATTTTGGTTCCTATCCTTTCAACTTTTGTCCATTTTAGTTCCTATACTTTCAATGTCCATTTGGGTTGAAAAAATGACCATTTTATTCACTATTTGCAAAATTCTAACACAAACTCTATACATAATAGAAACTCTTTAACACACAGTTATAACTACATTTCAAACTGTGGAAGTTGAAAATCACGAAGATTCATTTTTTTCTTGGCTAGTAGGTGTGCACATGTCCCGTGGAAATGTGATGGAGAGGACCTTACTCATCTTTTCTGGCTTTTCCATTTGCTTCCGAAGTGTGGGATTGTCTGTGACAGACTATTTGAATTTCCTTGGTTCAAAATTGGGCATAAAGAACAATGTTTTGATAGCTAAATTGTCTCCTCTTTTTTAAATTATAGCTCGACTGCTCTTATTGTCCANNNNAAAAGTTTTTTTTTTTTTTTTTTTTTTTTTTTTTTTTTGTAATTTTCCTGAGGCATATGGTTTTCTTACCCTTTTATGATTTCACCTCTGATTAAATGTTCCTTAGCCAAAAAATGTTAGAAGTAATCATTTTGAATCCTCTGTTTTTGGGTAGAGGATGTGTGTTGGGGCAAGCTGATTTTTTTTTTCTCTATTCCATGGTTAGTTTGGTTGGAAAGAAAGAAGAGAATTTGTGGGTTTGGAATAGTTGTTGATAAGAGATGTAAGACTCAGTGCATTTTAAAGCTTTTGATTCATCAACAGCTAAGCACACCCATGGAGGGTTGACATACAATTAGTGGTTACGGCCTTTGTTGAGGAGTTCTAAGGTAATTGATGTGCCGAAGGGCTCCCTCAAAATGCTTCCATTTCTCTCTACGAAAGTGGAGTTCCTAGCATTATTTATTTAGTGCTTAGAAAACCAAACTCTAAGCTTCATTTTGTTCCTCTTCTTGGATGGACTTAAAGCAGCGTAAAGCTTTAAAGTTTGTCGACCTATGCATTTGCGCCTTTTTGTTTCCCTTGCGTAGTTATATGGTACTTTTCTATGAGGATTTAGTGGTTTAAACTGATGATCTCAATGGATTTTTTAATTGGCTGCCTTAAAGTTGTCTTGGTCATGTGCGCTTCATTGTTGATTTATTAAGTGTGAGCTCTCTCTCTCTCTCTCTCTCTCTCTCTCTCTCTCTCTCTATATATATATATATATATATATATATGTGCATGCATGCATGTATGTATGTATGTATGTATTGTTTCATGCTTGTTATAATATATCTTTATTTTAGTAATAGATGCCTAATTGGATTAATAAATCCAATTCGACTGTTAATGACATCTTCTCTCTCTTCGTATCATCTTCAGCTCCTTTGCCATGGATGTCACACATTCAGTTGAAACGCTAATTGACTCTACAACCTCTAAGATACAACAGCTTCAGAAAGCATTTGCTGAGCTTGAAAGTCACAGAACATTAACACTTAACTTGAAATGGAAAGAACTTGAAGAACATTTCCATGGGCTAGAGAAATCCTTGAAGAGGCGTTTTGATGAGTTAGAAGACCAAGAAAAGGAATATGCAACCAAAACAACAGAGGCCCGTCAAATGTTAGAGAAGCGTGAAGCTTCTATATTTGCTAAAGAACAAGCCTCGCTGGAGGGTCTTCAAAATAAAAGAGATGCTGCAGCATTTGCTGTTGCTATTGCACGCGATAAGCTTAGGAAGGTGGCATCAGAAACGCCTTCTTGCCCTGATGACTATCAAAGTGGGGAACCAAATGTGGTAGATAAACCACCTGATTCTTTGACTAGTGAAAATACCTCAGAAGTTGTGAAAGATACTCCTGATGATGATGGACACTTCGGGGTCAAGTCTTATCCTCAATTAGTACAATTATGTGAAGAGATGGACTCAGCAGGGCTGCACAAATTTATATCAGACAACCGAAAGAACCTTGCTGCAATAAGGGATGAGATTCCATTTGCCCTAAAAGCAGCAGCAAACCCAGCCTATATGGTCTTGAACTCCCTGGAAAACTTCTACAGTGGAGAAATTGCAAACTTGGATGGAAAGAAAAACTCAGATCTACTGGGTTCACGCCGAACCTGCATCATGTTGATGGAATGTTTAAGCATTTTGCTGAAAACTATGGATGTTGA